GCCAGATTTTCAAAGCAAAAACAACTGCGGCCAATTCTAGATCACGTGTTAGGTAATTTTTCTCATGTAGCCTCAACTACCGAGAGGCGTAAGCGATAACCCTTATGTTCTGCATTAACACACAACCCAAACCTTTATGAGATGCATTACTGAAAATTACAAAAATTTTCGTACCTGATGGTAGTGTCAAAATTGGTGCAGTGGTCAATCTTGTTTTCAATTCATGAAAGGCTGATTCTCTTTCATCGTTCCACTCAAAAGGTTGCCCCTTATGTGTCAGTTGGGTAAGAGGCACAGCTATTTTCACCCAGCTAAACCCATAAAATTGCGGACTTCTGTTACATTGGTCGATGTAGGCCAATTCACAATTGCCTCTATTTTCTGTGGGTCCACTGAAATCCCTTCCTTGTTGATCACATGCCCTAAGAAAATAACTTCATCCAACCAAAACTCACATTTCTTTAGTTTAGCAAACAATTTCCTTTCCCTAAGTATTTGCAGGACAGTTCTCAAATGTTGTTCATGTTCAAGTCTATCTTTAGAGTATATCAAAATGTCATCAATAAAAACCACAACAAATTCGTCAAGGTAGGTTTTAAAAATTCGGTTCATTAGGTCCATAAATGCTGCCGGAGCATTAGTCACTCCAAATGGCATAACAAGAAACTCAAAATGTCCATACCTCGTTCTGAATGCGGTTTTCTCAACATCTTCCGCCTTTACCTTCAATTGATGATACCCGGATCTCAAATCAATCTTGGAAAACACTTGTGATCCCTGCAACTGGTCAAACATGTCATCATTACGGGGTAAGGGATATTTATTCTTTATTGTTACCTTGTTCAATTCCCGATAGTCGATACACAAGCGTAGGGTTCCATCTTTCTTTTTCACAAACAACACCGGTGCACCCCATGGTGAAGTGCTAGGTTTGATAAATCCTTTGTCAAGAAGGTCTTGTAACTGTTCTTTCAATTCTTTCATTTCAGCTATAGTCATTCTGTAGGGAGTTTTAGAAATAGGCTGGGTGCTTGATACAGTTTCAATAGTGAATTCTATCTCCCTGTCCACCAATTCCCCTGGTAGTTCATTTGGAAACACATCTGGAAATTCTCTAACAATAGGGATAATTCAATTCAGTATTTACAGATTGTTCAGACAACACATAGCACAAATAACTCTGACACCCTTTCCTGATCAATTTACATGCTTTCATTGTAGATATCAAATAAGGTGAAGGCACTACCCCATTACCCACAAACACAATTTCTTCTTGTTCTGGTGGTCTAAACATAACCCGTTTTGTCACACAATCAATGGTGGCACAATATTTAGTTAACCAGTCCATGCCTAGAATTATGTTAAAGTGCCTAAAGTTCAAGGGTTACAAGTCCACATATAGAATGGCATTTCCAATTGGCATGTCACAAAAACGATAGACAGATTCACACAATACCGATTCCCCAGATGGAGCAGACACACATAGTAGATATGGCAATAATTCTAGAGGTTTACTCAGTCTAGATGCAAATGCACATGTTACAAATAAGTGTGTTGATCCAGAGTCAATTAACACAAAGGCATCCTGATTACATATAGAAATAGAACCTGAGACAACTGCGTTGGCATTCCGGGTATTGCCCGGAACAAGCGCAAAAACTCTCCGGCAGGAGTAGATCTCGTTGCATTTCTTGGTTTTGGGAATGATGCTGTCGAACTAGTAGCAAATTTTCCACTATTCTGTTTACAATCTCTAGCCATATGCCCCTGTTTACCACAATTAAAACAAGCTCCTGACACACGGTAACAAACCCCACGATGCCTGTTGCTACAAGTAGTACACAACGGGGTTATATCTCGAGAAGAATTAGAAGTATTCCAGCTTCAAGACATTCACCTTCTCTAGAATGTCGCTTTGAAGCCCGCCTTCAAAATGTCTGGCCTTCTTATAGTTTGTATCAATCACGTATGGCGCAAACCTGACCAATTCAGTGAATTTGGCCTCATACTCGGCAACAGTCATACTGTCTTGCCTCAGTTCCATGAATTCTGCCACCTTCCTATCCCAGACACACTGCGGGAAGTACTTGTCATAGAAAATTTCCAGAAATTTTGCCCAATCAGCATCTTTGTAATTCTCACGCATTAACATCCACCATCTTCTTGCTTCGTCTTCTAGCATAAAGGTGGCTTGAAGCACTTTCTGTGTCTTCGAACACGGGAACACTTCAAATAATTTTTTAATGCTGAGGACCCAAGCTTCAGCTTTCAAAGGATCAATCCACCATAGAACTGTGGTGGTTTCATTTTCTTGAACTCTTTGGTGAGAGCTATGATTCGGTCATCATTTTGATTATCTGGCACAGGAGGTACTGGAGGCGGAGGTAAAGGATGTGGCTGCTGCCACTATTGTTACCATTCCTGTTGTTGCCTCAATGTCTCTGCCATTTCCTGAATCAGTCTTTCTATTCTATCCAGTCTGGCGATCACCTCTTGTTCTCACCATCTGATTAAACTTGCATTATACTTTATACAAAAGATACACAGGTATACAAAAGATACACAGGTATACTTTATAAGTTTGTGAACTGCTTGCATTTCAAATAATTTGAAATGCAAGCAGTTCACAAACTTATAACACATAGTTGTTCACATTTAACAGTTAAGCGTATTCTTGATGCTTTCAGATTCATACTTATCACATGAATGCATCCTAGATCTTTTCTAGATGCTTATTGCTCTTTTGGACAAGTGTGTGAGTTATTAACTCGTGCTCTAATACCACTCTGTCTACCCCGAACCCGCCTATGGATTAAGGCCATAACTGGCAGTAATCACGAGATTACCTACGGCTCAAACAAATAAAACAAAACTCATCAGAGTAAAGGGGCCAACGGAAGCAAATTTAAAAACTTTGTCCATAGAGCTGTGCTTATATGCACACCATAACGTTCCAAACATTTATATGTTAATAACTCACATCAAAATATGTACTAACACAGACACTGTACATACACAGGATCATACAGAGTCAGCATGGAACCAAGACTTATATACAAAAGTAGTCCAATGCTTTCGCCAACATACACAAACTTGAACAAAAGGACAAAGGCGAAGACAGTCTCGTGCGTAAGACTTTGGCTGACTCCTCAAAACTCTGACTGTTTCTCACAATTTCACCGGGGCTGGTTCTGGACGTCCCTTGGCTCACCTACATGTACATGAATGAGCGTGAGCGAAAACCGAGTGAATAATATCGAATAAGGAAGATACATAAGCAATCTTTGAAACGGTTACAGCAGACGGCCTTTGGCCCAATCACTTGTATCAATCGGCCTTTGGCCCAATCATTTATGTCAATCGGCCTTCGGCCCAATCATCTGTGTCAATCAGCCTTCGGTCCAATCATTCGTGTCAATCGGCCTTCGACCCAATCATTCATGTCAATCGGCCTTCGGCCCAATCATTCATGTCAATCTACCTTTGGCCCAATCATTTATGTCAATCATTGTCCACCATTCAAATTAATGAACTTACAAAACTTACATAGAAGTAAACAATTGGACAACAACATATTTCAAATATCTTGTTAAGATATTACTCACAGTAATCGGCTTGTGGATTTGCCCTGGAGTTTGACCCTACACATCATATAGCACATATGGGTCAGAAATGATTCAATCCATTCTTTAATTCACATATTCCTCTTTAGGCTTCATTCTTATCTCTTTAACTCAATTACAATTCTTAATGCATGCGTAAGAGTGCTTGCAAGTGAAAGAGAACGGAATACGAAACACAGAATACACTTTCAAAATTTCAGAAAACAGGGTCCCCGCTCGAGCAGACCCATTAGGTCTGCAAAAGTGCTGGTTGTAACATTTTTACGCTTGAGCGTGAACTCGAACGCTCGAGCGGAAGTTCATCCTACATAGCTCTCCGCTCGAGCGTGAACTTCCCCCGCTCGAGCGGACACCATGCCTGCAAGAAAATACTGGGAGCTCAAAATCCCTGCTCGAGTGGCGGTTTCCCCCGCTCAAGTGGACATAAAAAATTCTGGGTTTTCCAGAATGGTTCTTGAGCTCGAATTCAACACTCTAACCAACATTTTCTTGCATGCCATGGCTCAAATTTCACATATACATATACTAACATAATACCAACACCAAACTACAACACAATAAAGCTCAATTTCTTGAATTACTTACATGCATGCCTCAAATTAACCCAAACTCATCACCAACACATCAAATTCAAACATGCAAAGCTCATACCTCCATGATCTACTCTTGCATGTGAGAAATATTCATTCATATCAACTTAATTGGTGAAGAGATGATCAAATACATGGATTTCAAACAAGATTCAACATAGATTATACACAGTGTGTTCAAATATGAAAATTCATAGTAATTTCCTACATGCATGCATCTATTGACTTTAAATTCAACACATACAACTCAATCTCCTCATAAACAATTTAATTCATGTTCTTAATCATTTTTCAACCTTCAATTCACAAAATTACTAATTGCAATTCATGCACTCACTTACCTAGAGGCTTAATTCTCCAAATCTATGGCAAAATCTTGAGTTTAATCCTCCGATCTTCACAAAATTGAGCCAAACACCCAACTTTCCTTCTTTCTCTCTCTAGCCGACCTCTCTTTCTTTTTCTTGAGTTAGAATCAACCAAGTAGAATAACAAAGAGGATGTTTGAGTACATAGTGCCCCACTAAGTCACATTAATTTAATAATAGACAATTGAGCACTTTATGATTAATTAAATCAATTTAATCTGATCCAAATCAATTTTCAAATTAAATTTCACCGTAGGTCCTAAAAATTATGCCAATCACAATGGCGCAATCAATTTTAGGTTCTGTGGCCGATAAGGCCTTCAATTTAATTTCCAAAGCAGATAATCAAACAGATATTCCTACGGTGAACAGATAGAAATTCAAAACCACATATTTTCACATAATGGCACACAAAATCATATCAAACACATAATCATATTCATATTAAGGACCAATTATCATACTACGGGACAGGGATATTACAATTAATGACTTCGAATTTTAACTTGCTATAATATGAAATGAGTTAACATTGGCAGCAGGTACCAAATATTTCAGATTTCTTGTAAAAGCATACATGCACTGGTGAAAAAAGCATTATCCCAAGCTAAACTTTTGCGCAAGTTGCTTGCTCTTCCCAACTCAGCGGATTCATAAAATAAGAGCTTTTACTCCATTTGCTCGAGTATTTCTATTGCGTTTTCAGGTTCACGAGAATCTGTGGTCCTAAACAGCTTGAAACCTTCTTGCTCATCTATTTTCTCTAACAGTACTGTGAAAATGAATTCAAGAATAAAATGTTTCAGGCTAATATTGAAAATGGAAGAATGTATTTGTTCAAGTAACTGTAGAATTGTTCCTAATGTTGATGTAGAAACTAAGATCTGTTGGTGGTTTTTCATGCAGCCTAAGCAAATTAGAGTCCTTTAGATAGTGATGTGTTAGTTATCAGGAATTAGGAGAGTCAAAGATGATGCAGAACTATGAAATATCTCACAAATAAAACGATATCAGAAATTCAGACCTACTATAAGAGAACTACTGTAAAATATTAAGGTTCTTAAAATTTTGCTCTCATCCCCGAAAGTAACTGAATAATTAGAAACACTGGTCTATTCTAATAGATTGATTATTAGACTTAACACTATGATAAACAATAAGACATGAAAATTAGAATTAGAATATAAACATGCTTACATGGAGCAGGGAAATATCATTCACGTACTATATAAGCTACAATTAGATTATTACAGAGTATTTCTTCCAATATACTTATGTTATCTCACATTAAGACATAAATACAAAGTATTGTATTGGCGGAGATTAGGTGACTAGTTACAATTTATAAAGCATGGATAGGGGGATGCAAGATAGAGGTATGACGCAATATGAATACATCGATACAAATTCTGAAAAAGCAGGCTATGGATTATATGAAAGAATACGACCATAAATAAAAATATATATAAATTAAAAAGTAATTGTCATAAATCTTTTAGGATAGACTATTTTTCTTTATTTATCTATAATTAGGAAACACTCTAATTTGGCGAAGCTGAGTCAAACTTTAGATTTCTAGAAAAAGTTCAATAAAAATTGATTAATTTATTTAGATGGCGATAATTAGTCAAATCATTTGAAAGTCACATAGTTATTTTATATACACAGTTACATAACCACCATGGAGTATGTAAGCTCTCTACTTCCAGTCCCACGTTCCGCATATAACTCCACTACCATGAAGAGTATCAATGCTTCCCTACGATGTATTCAAGCACATCAAGTATGTGTTGACTTTCTAGTCTACCAAATAGTCTTAATTTCAAACTACTAGAATTCACGGCATGTGAAAAAATTCAAAGTGTTGTATTGGCGGAGATTAAGTGACTAGCTACAATCTATAAAGCATGGAATGTGATACAAGATAAAGGTATGATACAATATGGATACATCGATACAAATTGTGGAAAAGTAAGATATGGATTATGTCAATGATACGACAATATATAAACATATATAAATTTTAAAAGTAATTTTGTGAAGACTATTTTTCAAACTACTAGGAGTCATAGCAAGCACAAAGTGTGCATAAATCATCGAAAGACAATAACAATTCTAAATATAAAATTTATGGTATAAATGAAATGTTACCAGAAATGATGCCTTAAATTACTTCAAAAGATTAGCAACCTAGTAAATTTTTTTTAAAAATGGACAAAAAGAAAGATAAAAAAGTAATCAACAAAATATTCAAAGTCCCTGTTTAATTTTATGTTTAGAATATCATCAAATTTTTTTTTTTTCATGGGATAATAATACCATCATCAAATTGAAGTTATTTAATCTCTTCGTAACACATTTGACATAGGAAATTAATAACGGTGAATGAAATGAAGATTATAGGCAGATAGATCACTATATCTAGCTATGCATATAGTGACAATGACTATGAAAAGCTTCATACACAATATCACACGAAAAAAGTCAAAATAAATTTTATATATATGCATACAATTTATGGTAGATGTATATGTACGTAAAAATGTAGACAAATCTTTTAAGTGATGTCATTTAAACCAAGGTGGTAGTGATAGTATAAAATTATTGAGCAAATCCAAGGAGATAATTGAATGTTCTTCTTCTCTATACTATTGGTTTGGTGGAATTGGGAAAGTCTTTACCTCTTTGATAGAGCAAATATATATATTCCTCAAATGGTACTTCTGCATAGGTGCCGAGTACACAAAACACGTACCCAAGCTTTTTCTTTTTAATTTTTGGCATACTCAGACGTACCTAGTATATACCCAAGTCGTACCATACCTCACTTGAAATAATATTTTCTTCTACTATAGAGATAAAGCTCATTTCACTAGACTTCTTTTTTATTTTTTGTTTTATGCTCAGCATGATTTTAAAATTAAACTATGGTTTGTAAGTTATTTAATATATTGACAATAAATTTTGATTTATACCTTTACTTTTGACATTAAATGTTAATTGTAGGTTGAACCTTAACAAATTAAATCATTTAATTAATTTTTGCATTACTTTAAATTAAAAATAAATATTTTTTTACAAGCGTACCAAGCCGTATCCATACCCTATTTTTTAAAAATTTTACCATATTGACGTACTCGTATCGTACTAGTACTAGTATTCGTATTCGTACCTGTACCCGTGCTTCATAGGCGACAATGACTATGAAAAGCTTCATGCACAACATCACACAAAAAAAGTCAAAATAACGTTTATATATACATACAATTTATCGTAGATGTATATGTACGTAAAAATGAAGAAAAGTCTATTAAGTGATGTCATTTAAACCCAGGTGGTGATGATAGTATAAAATTACTGAGCAAATCCAAGGAGATAATTAAATGTTCTTCTTCTCTATACTATTGGTTTGGAGGAATCGGAAAGTCTATTCCTCTTTGATAGAGAAAATATATATATATATATATATAATACACACAGAAACGATGTACTTTGCATCTCTGTTTTTTCCACTTCAACAAGAACTAAATGACAATCATTATTTAATCAAAGACCCAACCCACCTTGAGGCCTTTAAGCAAAAATGTTATCCTTCAAGTTGAAACACTAGTACAAGCAGAAAAACACTTGATCTATAATAGCACTTGCACCACATACATCCTCCAATTCATATAAGAAACCATTTGATTTGAAAGAGAAAGTTGGCAAGTGAAAAGAAGTTTCAGGAGAAGTTGTCAGGATGTGAATTTGTGGGAAGTTGATTTTAATGTTTCTAAGTGGAATGGAGTTTGTGAGAATTTTGATTATTGCCCATAACTTGATAGAAGGAAAATAATACACAACTTCAGTACATGATCAACACCAAAATGAGCCCTTCGTATATTAATATTGATAATATATTCATATAAGATATATTGAGGGTTCATTATGTCCACTCAAACTTGGACCAAATTTGACATGCTTTATTCTCAATGTTTCTCAATTCTTCTTACCTGGAAACTACTCTTGTATTTATCGTAACAATTACTCTAACGCTATGCAAGAAATACGCAACTTTCAAAATAAGTTACATGACGATGCGGAACGTGATATGTAGATTTTATTTATTTGTAATTTTTTTAATTTATGGTTATTTATTTTTTATTAATAATTTAATTAAAACCTTAGTATATTTTGTTACTTATTTTATTAGAGATTAGGCTTCCAAATAATGTCATGATTTACTCTGTTATTTTAATTCGGGTTTCCTACATTGCTTATATATATGGCTCTATGTAATAGTTTTCGGTTAGCTTTGAGATAATAGTATTGAGTAGTTAAAGGTTGTGGCCATTTTTTTGAGATTAAGGTTTTGACCATTGTATTCTTCTTCTCTTTTTAAGTTCTTCTCAAAACTTTTTGATCTTCTCTTTTAGATCAATTCTCCACATATTCTGATTTTAGGATCGATTGAATAGCCAATTTAGTACTCGATTGAAATAAAACAAAGTAAATTTCAAATTATAGATACATTTAAGAAGTATCAAATAGGTTTATGCTAGTATCCGAGAAGTATTGATACTCGATACAAATACAACTCTCATCTAGAAGTATCTGGACGATTTATTGGCGACAACACGGGCGACTAAACTTTTTAGTCGGGAAAAGTGAAATTTTGACATTTGGCGACTAAAATGGGACCTTTGGCGACTAAAAATTTAGTCGCCAAAGGTGTTTTTTTTTGTAGTGGTCAAATCTGGAGGAGAGGGACTCTGAAATCTGAATCAAATTGGGTGGAAGAAGTTCGAGTGAATGCTGAAATTTTTCCTAAACCCTAGAATGTTTGATTTTGAAGAGAACACACACACACACACACACACACACACATATATATATATATATAAACAAGTAGATACTATATACTATCTAATCAAAGTTTGATTTTTTGATTTTGCTATTAATACCCACAAGCAACTTAACCCTTCAAGTACAATTTAAAGTCTTTCCCTTACCTCACACAGTTAAATGACAAAACTCCAATAGAGATATTTACAAAAATAACTAATAAAAAAAATTAAATAATCCAATTGAGATCAAGAAAAGCAATTCCTTTCATACAAGAACATGTCACATGTCACAATTCACAAAATCAAGCTTCGTTAAGATTTTTCACAATTAACAAACATCAAAATAAATCCTCAAACCCTAAGCTTCGTTTAGTTTTGGAATGAATTGGAAATTTGAAACCTGTATAACAATTGTATATAACTGAGATAAACAAACACAAACATAGATATGGACGTAACTACATAGAGGAAGGAAGATAAAATGAGAACCTGAAAGTCGAACGTCTTGGAAGCTATGGCAAATAAGAAGCAATAAGAAAATCATCTTTTGAAGAAATATCGAAATATCACAAATAAAAAAGCAATAAGAAAATCATCTTCTGAAGCAATAAGAAATTCTCCTTCATTGCAACAACTCCAATAGCGTATCAAAATTCTACTGAATACCTGTATGTGTATGAGAGTATATATATATATATATATGCATTTAGAGAGAGAGAGAGAGAGAGAGAGAGATTGCAGAGAGAGAATTTTGAATTTCAAGACAATGAAAGTTGATTAATGAATTTAATTAAGGAATGAGTTATGAAAATTTTGAAAAGAAAAATAGATTGCAGAGAGTGAATTTTGAATTTCAAGAGAATGAAAGTTGATTAATGAATTTAATTAAGAAATGAGTTATGAAAATTTTGGAAAGAAAAATAGATTGCAGAGAGAGAATTTTGAATTTCAATAGAACAGAATTTGATTAATGAATTTAATTAAGGAATGAGTTATGAAAATTTTGGAAATGGCTGATTTGATAAGAAAAATAGATACACCATCTCCAATCATTTATTAAATTTTTTATTTGATTTTAAAAGAGTAAAAATTTGTTTTGATATGGGTTTTTCCAATCTTTCATTAAATTTCATCAAAAGTTTTTAAAAAAATTACTTGTTCATCTTAAATTTTATTATTCTTTTCATCCCACTCAAAATATAAGTCTTTTTTTAAAGAATAAGAACTAAAATAATATAAATTTCTTATTTTGTCCTTTTTTTTGAAAAATTTATTAACAACACAAAAAGTATAATTATAATAATTGATATTTCTAAAAAAATATATCGTACTATCAAAGGGTAATTTTGAAAAATTAATATTACTAAAAAAAATTAAATTCACCAAAATAGACTATTATTTTGGGACGGAATCAAATTTAAAAGAAAAAAGCTTATTGAAAAATTAGTGAAATATTTGATTTATCCTTCATTTGACAACACTTTAATCCACCTCAATTAAGGATTGACACCCACTTTAATATTGTATTAAAATCACTAAAACATTATTATTTTTCTAACATGATGTCCGCAACACGGAAAGTAGCAGAACAAGGCTTGTTTAGAGCCTGATTTAACGGAGTACTCCCCCCTCTTAATTGGGCGCCAAATTAATTTATCCTTGCACTGCCCTCTTGGTATGTAAATGGATAGAATATGTTTGCTACATTCTTCAGGAAAAAATAATCTTATCAAGTTAGTCTCGCCAGCATCTGCGTTCATGATCAATAAAATGGGCTACCTTCATAGATGGCAACACCCGATGCATGTCCCTTCCGCCTAATGGATCAGGAATCATCGGTATCCATTTATCCTCAAAGGGTGAGATAGTTTGACCATTACCCACAACCCATTGAACTCTGTGTTTAATGGATAATGCTACATATATTAGTATATTAATCAGTGTATTAATTAATGATATAATATAATATAATTTTTTTTTTTATATATAATTTGTATAATTAAGGGGTTTTTTTTTAAGGTCCCTGGTATTATGATTTTATAGCATAAAGGACATCAAATATTTTTATAATGTCTAAGGTCCCTCAACAATATTTTCATAATGTCGATAGGGACCTTAGACCGATTTTCCCTATAATTAATAGGATCACTAATAATATTATATTTAATGTTACTATACTAATTAACATATTAATCAGTACATATATCCCGATAAGTATCTAATCTAGGGCCGTAATGTAATCCGCCATCCCCACGTGGCTTGACTACCAATATGAACTCGCAAAAAAGGATGGCGTGGCAATATATACCTAATAGGACTTTAGACGGGAAATTATTCAGTACTTTCGGAGCACCACGTACTCATACTTCAAATCAATCGCCAATTAGTTAGTCCTAAGTTATTTTCTTATTTTCAACATAAATCGTGAGCTCTTGTATCTCTCTATTAATTAAAACTTTATAAAATATTATAATCACCCGTCTCTAGGCAGCAACAATTTTGGTTTGGGCACTACCCGCCACGCCCGTTTGGCCAATAAAGTATGAGTAAAACATCTAAGATCCTAAGGATTTAGCCCTTTTATGCTTTTGTCTTTTGTGAAATGCCCAGGAACCATGGGCCTTGAGATCCGCATTGCTTTAAGCAAATGTCAAATTATTAGGAAATTGATGCAGATTGATTGTCGTATATGGTGAGCTATCATATTGTGATAAAAATTCCCCGATGGGATCTATATGAAAAGGAGAAATTTTGGCCGGGAATAAGATATTTTAGTTGATTTTTTTAAAAATTTTTAGTTATTTTAATTTGGTTTAAAATATTATGTTTAGAATCATAATTAATTTTTTTTAGTTGATTTGATAATTATGAAAGTAAAAAATAAAATAATTATATTTTAAATGGAATATTTTATTTTATTAATTATTTTTACCTATTTTATTTTTATTGACTATTTTAACCCAAACCACACTTTCCAAATACCCTCTTTGTAAATTGGAATGTATTGCTGGGCTTGTGGGACTTATTGTGAATTTCATTTTGACAATCCGAATCATTCAATGTGTAGAGTTCATTGAGTACTTTGCCTCTGTAAAAAAAATTACATTGATCGGATATTGATAGACCCTTAATCAGATCATGTTTTTGTCAATGTTAAATATGATTTTAAAAATAAATTATTGAGAAAAATGTGTTCTGATCAAGTGCTTCTTGATATCCAATTAACATGATTTTTTGTATAGATAAAATACTCGATGAGTTCTACATATTCAACGGTTTGAATTATTGAAATAGAACCGTGATAAGCCTCACAAACCTAACAAAATTGTGCCAATCCACAAAATGGACTAAAGAGAAATATGCACCCATATGAAAAAATAGCATGAACCAAGAGTTTTTATTTTTTATTTTTTTAGTATTCTAAAAAAAAAACAATTTAGAGAATTAGCCCACTTTTTAACCTATTTGAGAAATTAACCTATTTTTTAAAAATACAATTTTAAATTAAAAATTACATTTTCAACATGCAACTTCAACTTGAAATCACATGTTGAAAATGAAATATACTTTAGTGAAATCCATGTCATCATAAAATTGCACTTTCAAACTGCAATTTGAAAAAGTAGGTTAGTTTCCTAAATAGTTTGGAAAGTGAGTCAATTTTCTAAATTATTTTCTGAATTTTTAGAATATTAAAAAAAAAAAATCGGATGAACCAAACCAACGACCTTTTCAATATTCATTGTAAATGAAAAATAATAAGAAAATTATTTATAAGGAAAAAAGAAGATAAATATCACAAAATTATGGCGGAACTCATAATTGTAATAGAAATAATTTGTCTAAAAATAAAAATGAAAAATTGAGAGTCCTTTTGGCAATACCATAAATAAATTGCTTGTTGACATATTGGTTTGATTAGGTCATATTATTTTATTTTTTTTACACGTCTTTTTAGAATAAAAAATAATTTCTAATAAATTGTTTAGAATAATCTAAATAAATATATATTTTTTTTATCTTTTTACGAACAGAAACTGCACACAGCTTTAAACTTTTCTATTTTCTTAAAAATTGGGAATTTTTTATTTTATTTATTTTTCATATTGGGCAAAATCAAATCCTTCAAGTTCCAGACACGTCCATCCATGATCGCGACATTCGTATATTATTACAAAAGGTTAAAATGCTGATTATATTAACAAATAAATCAAACCAATAATTTTTTAAAAAAAATAATTATGAACACTGATTGTATTAACAAATAAATCAAACTAATAATTTTTTTTTCAATAATTTTTTTTATAGAAAATATGATTACACAAAAAAAAAAAAAAAAAAAAACCCAAGGCACTTGAACTTTATGATAATGTCATATATTCAAGGATGGATAAGGGGGTGATTGCACTCTCAAAATTTTTGAAAATTATATATATTATATTAATAATTAATAAGATAATTTTAAATTAAAATATTTCGTACCCTTAAAATTTTAATATTTACACTCTTATAATTATAAAGATTTGCACTCCTAAATTATCAAATATTGATATATTCTATTTATAATATGTATTGTTTGGCAGATTTCTAGTCTAGAATTACTTATATTCTTATATTTGTTTTTATTTGTTACTATTCTTATTTTATGTTAATATATCATTTATGCTTCTTTTTTTCTTTTTCTTTCTTCTATAAATCACACTTTAATTTTTGAAAAATTTATTTTTAAATCCCATCTTGAGAAATGGTGATCTGTTTAGTCTCAAAATTTTTTTTATAGACCAATTAGTCATATTAATTTTTGAAGGTAGATTTAATATATTATTTAGAAATTGAATTTACAATTATACCTTTATTTCTATTGTGTTTCCTTCCTTTCCTTTTTTCTTTTGTGCTATAAAGGTAAGATATACAATCTATGGAAATCAAATTTGGGATGAATTTTTATATGGGAAACTTTCTTATTTTGAAAACATTTTAAAATGAGTACAAAAATGACTTAAAATATGAGATTCTTCAACTATTTCAAAAAGAATACAAAAATTCCTTAATAAGTTTTAAACAAATATATAATTTTAAACCGTAACACTCTAACGTAACACTCAAAAAAAACTTGTTAGTGTACTTTTCCTAAATGTAACACTTCAATATAACATTCCAAAAAAATTCTTTAGTGTAATACTCCAATGTAACATACAAACAAACTCTTTAGTGTACTTTTCCTAAACGTAACACTCCAATATAACACTTCAAAAAAAAAAAAAAGAATGTGTGATTCTTCAAACTATTCCAAAAAGATGTGAGATTTTTCAAATAATTCCAAAAGGAGCATAAAAATTCATTAGTAAGCTTTGAACAAATGTATAATTTCAAACTGTGAGTGTTACGTTTGAAAAAAGTACACTACAAAATTTTTTAGTGTTTTTGTGTGTTACATTTGGAATTACATTGATTGGAGCATTATATTTGGAAAAAATACAGTAAAAAGTTTTTTTTCTGTATTACATCGGAGTGTTATGCTTGGGAAAAATGCACTATGGAGTTTTTTGGAGTGTTATGTTATTATGTTTGGGAAAAGTAAATTAAAGAATTTTTTAGTGTTATGGTGTATTACATTGAAATGCTACTTTTTTGTTCAT